CCAGCTGATTCAGACTGGTACAGGTGATTTTAAATCTGTGTTTCAGAAAGCCATTTTTAAACCATGATTAACTATTCCAGATTAAGGCCAACCCCTATCTTAATTTAAACCCTGTCTGGGAAACCACCCCCTTAAGACTAAACTATCCTTACCTCGCATTCACCAGTCCTCGGATCAAGATGGATTACACCATTTAAAATTATAAATAACAAAAGGGGTTATATTTAAACAAAGGGAAGCCAAAGGGGTGTTCCACAAAGCAGGATTTCTTGCTTAGCAGATAGTCTGAGCTAAATGTCAGCTAAATGAACATTAAAGTCGATCATGTTTGGGGTAAATTTTAATAATTTCTTATGAGCAACATAACCTCATCAACATCTAATACAAAACAGTACCAGGCTTTGCTCAAGAGTCCAAAGATATGTTATTATCCTGCTGAAAATTGGGCATGAACTGGCAACCTTCAGATCACAGGACAAGGAACTTGTCTGCTGAGCTACATGCTGCCCCTCATTAAAAAAACTTGTCTAAAGTCAATGGCCCAGTATTTCACTATTATTTTAATGGTGCACTGAAAAAATATCCTGTGTAGAATTTAGGTTAAAAAATTCTCGTAAGTTTTTGCACAACCTTTTTCTGAGTATGTTTAACTACAGCACTATTGAATAAAAGTCACTTAATTATAAGCCTTAAAAATCACATGTTAAATTTAACAAAATTTAATATGACCTTCTAGTCTTGTGTAACATTTGCTTTGTTTAATGTATTTCATAAAACCCAAATTAATTCTATCCATCCATATACCTACACTAAAAAGTCCTGTTGGATGTGATTAATTTTATTAAGACAAGTGGTTAAATGAAATACATTTATCTAAGAACAGATATGAATTACACAATTACACAAGTAGCATTTACGAGGTAACAGTAACTTTGTTTGTTGATTTATGAAAACTTTTTGCAAAAAAATTAACAAAAAAGAATAGTTCCCACCAGCCAACTGTTGACTGTTGCCAAGCAACACAAACATTCCAAGGCAACACAGCTCACTCACACCCAACAATTTAGCATCGTTTAAATGTGGCTAAGTAGCGGCTATTACATACACCTTGAAAGCGGAGTGATACATCTGATGTGAAATGTCCAAGTGTGGTTATACTCTGAACAACTCTTGTCCAATCAGATTTCTTGGTCGAAATGAACTGTCCAATAATTACTTCCATATAGGTTCCGGAACTTTGATTCCATGACATCACTATCTATATAACACTAGTGGTAAAGTCAGCTCCTAAGTAGTTACTTGAACTGATCGACAGGGTATTACAGTACTGGAAGGCATGGATAACTCAAAAAAGAATGAGCGAGGGAAGAAGAGGCGCTCGAGACCACGCCAAAGTATGTGGCGTTCACAGAGGACGGTCTGGAAACATGAAGACCGTTCTGGCCGCG